AAAAAAAACTCTCCTAAGTGGCCTACGGTATTTAGAATTCAGCTGAACTTTTAGTTGCAATATGGCATACACCAGCAAACTTTGAGGACCCTGTTTAGCTTCCAACTTTAAAAGGTGATAGAGCTTAGTATGATATGGTTTATCTTGATTCTTGAGTGTGATACAGGACAAACATGCTGTAAAAAGATGATCATGGAGTACAAGTGGTGCAAGAAGGCAGATAAAATCGGCCATTTCAAGAAGAGGCTTTAGTGCAAGTTCAGTTCCCTAGAGCAAGCACCAGCACTGCAGGTAATGCATCTTTTTTTGGTAATACAACTGTATTTGTTGAGGTTTTACCTTTTTCTATTGAGCTATATCTAAATACTTTGGGTAGTATGCAAGCCTTAACTTCAACTCATTTGGTTGATCAAGAGGTTGAGAATGATGAAATTTGTATATTAGGAGATTAATAGATAACTGTGAAGAAGACAAAGAGATGGACTTAACTTAAAAATCAAATTCCTATTTCTCCCGAAGGAAGTACAACGAAAGTTTGAAACTCCTTGTAACTAGAAGTAAAGGTAATCTTTGAGTCTGCCCTTATTGTGTTTGTGTGTTCGAAAATTTGTAGGACTTCAGAACCAATCAGTTAGGTGTCGCTCGTAGATTTTATTATATATGTACCTCTTATGGCCTTGAGTGCTTTGAATATGTCGAAGAGAACGTGGTATAATACGTATTTAATATTACAGGTAGGGGTATGCTTAACTCTAAAATACAATAGGAATAGAACTAAAGCCTATAAAAAAGAACACTCCACTAGTCGTAGAATCATTTTTCTTTCAAAAGGAAAAGATAATTAGGAATTTTTGCCTCAACTTCCAGATGGCTTTCAATCTTTCATAGTACAATACCTGAAACAACATAATAGTTAGTTGGAGTTTCTGGCTGTGAACTTTCTGATGGCTTAAGAAAAGAAAAAGAGTGATTGAATCCAATTCTTTTTTGAAAGTCTAGTATATTTTTTGGTTGCAGTGAAATAAATTTTATCACTTACAAAATCTAGCACTTCGCTGCATTTTTCGAAAACTGTGCTTGTTGTAATGTAAACATCACTGGGGGAATGTTGATTAGTGGTTTTAAATATTGGGCATGGAGGGGTTAGTTAGGCTTATTCATACCTGTGAACATAGCTCCACAATCATGTTGAGGAAGAATGCAATGAAATCTTGTTAGTCTAGTTATGGCATCAATCTCTGGCTGTGAATTTGGTGATGAAAGTATCCTTTTTAAAAAAGTAGCAAGAGCGTTATCTTCTGGAACCTGCGGCATAGGTCTATTAGTGGTCAACTTCAATTCTGAATTTGTGAATACAATACATCTTTGACCATTAATTTGGTAACGAAAGAGGGTATTAAACACACAAAGTGGTGAGAAACCTGTCTCAGTGTCATCTTTAGGGAGGGGCTGCAGAAATGTTAAAAAATATTATTGAGAGTAGGTGATGGGACTTGGAAATTTGAGAGAAAGCTTGCTGGGCAATGTTTCTGATATCTCTGTTCATGCAAGTCATCATCTATGAGTCTGTATCTCGTCTTCTGCCCATCCAGTAACATGACTTTGAGTCTGCTAAGTGCTGCTGGGATTGTCGCTATGAATCGTGGTGGAAAGATTGTTGGCGCTGACTCTTACAAAATCTAGACCAGAAATGCAGGTGCTGCAGAGACTGCAATTCTGTTAGCAATCAAGCAAAATATGAAGAACATTCATCTCTAGGGTGATTGAAACATTGACGCTACCAATGGGAAATGGCACAACACGAGATGTGCAATGGATTACCAGTGCTGTGTTATCTAATATTGATGAAAGAATAATATTTTGGGCAGTATACTCCTCCCAAATGCAGTGTAAATCACCAACTACTGGTCCTGTCGAAGTGTTTCAGATAATTTGTAGCGGCCATTTTTTAGTTCACCTTTTCGCCCGCAAGAGATTCAGATAAGGGATGCATCATGCAATTTTCAGTCAGGTGTTATCTAACATTTCAAACTGAATTGTGCCAACTAATTGTGAATGTGCAGAGGCCTCAAACAACCTTGTACTTAAAGATTATTACACCAGGCTGCTCGGATAGTAATTGCGACTATGCTATACATTTGTATGGACTACTAAGCAAGGGCAAGGGTCTACTATTCATTACGAAAACATAGGTACTTGCTATTCTAATGATTAATGCCTTCACCAGAGTAACTAAATCACGCTGGAATGAGTATGGTACTTGCTGGGGCTGTTTTATTTTTCTAACATTGTGTGCTGGATTATAATGTTTGGTCTGTTTTTGAGGTACTTTGATAGTTTGATTACACATTTACACCACAGCAATTCAAAAGAACTTGTGACACAGATT